CAAAGTGGCCTGGGAAAATAGTCTGGCTTTAGAAATGATTTTGGAAAAAAAGGAGGAGCCTGTGTAGTGACAGGCAGCCAATGTTGTACTTTCATTCCAAATAATACAGGTTTAGATGGTATTAATATCAAGGCTCTGGAGGGTATAACAACACTTGCTAATGAGATAGTAGCAAACCCAGGAATATGTGATCCTTTCTTTAATGGAATGGATCAATGCTTTAAATCATGGATGGGAATAACTACCTCCATCCTGAGTCCTGTTATCACTGTGTTGGGGGAAGTGGCTCTAGTGGGATGCTGCATCATTCCCTGGGTAAGAGGGGTGTGCAAAGCCTGACAGAGAAAATCCTTACTAAGCCATCCTCACTTGCCTACGAAATCAAACTTCTAGTATTATAAACCTTAGACCAAGAAGACAAAAGTCAATGATTGTTCAGTTTGAAGAAAAGTATAACAGTGTGTCACTAAGAAGGGCAATTTTTTTGTAAAAAGTAAACTTTTTTATGAAGGGGGATATTTTGAATAACTCCATTTATAAGAATTCATTATGCCAAAATTCTCTTTTTGTAAAATATGCTCATGCTTATGTTCCCAATCCTTACAAGAATAACTCGGGATAATATGGCCATATGCTAGTCCACCTGCAGTAAAACTTTGTAACAAAGATTCTTCTGGGTCACAGCATCTGTTCTGCTCAGCACTACAACTCCTTAAGAACTATGGAATCAGGTTAATGTGTGAGGCAATGTTTCCACTAATAGAGCATGAAAAATGACAACAGTGAGTCAAGAAATAAAGCCATGTGGAGTGACTGCCTGGTGTGCTGCCTGGCAGTGTCTATCCTAGCTATTCCCCCCTCTGGAGAAGTCAAGCTTTGCTGAAATACTTTCAAAGACTTTTATCTGGTTCTGTTATGACCCTAGGGATTTCCTCTCTGACACAGTATTTTCCAAAATCTATCAAAATATAACTTCAAACAAATACTAAGTTATTTCTACATTTAGAATTATGCAACATGATATAGGGATTGAAAAAGATATTATAAGATAGAAAGAACTCTAATATATATCAGACTGAAATGTCGCCTACTATTCACATATGGAAAGAGAGTTGAATATGGAAAAGAGAAGTTATAACAGCATCAAAGTAGACATTATTAGATTAGGTCATTGACACGTTCTTTGCTGAATAGGAGTTTGGGAACAGGACCTGGTTGGAATGTGGAGGCCATGTGGACATGACTGGGAAAGCTCTCGTCTCCACCTGACCCTCTTTTCTCACTTCTTTTTCTCTTTTGAACCCCACCTTCCACTACCCGTGTAGCTTCTCAGGCCATTCTCTTATGCTTTTCTGCATTGGAGTTGGCCAATAATAAAGTGCAACCTCAGAAATTGTGTATTACAGCAAAAATTTTCTTTCTCTAAAGTATTGGCCTTAAATATTTTGGAAGAGGAACAGTGACTAATGCCATCTCTCATGTTCATGAGGTTACAGAATTGATATTGTTTTCATGATCTTGTTATGAAACAGATCTGTATATTCAGTGAATTCCAATGATGATATTAAATACAGTTCTTTGAAAGATGAGAAAACCAATCCTACAATTCATCAGCAAAAGACACACATGCACACACACACCCAGATGCAAGCCTAAGCAAAACAATCATCAGAAAGTTGAGGAAAGCTAAAAATCAGCGCAATATTAAATATCCATGTATTAAAATAAAAGTACAAAAATTGACACAATATTGGCATAGAGACAGAAGCAATAGACTGGAGGACACTGAAAGAAAATTACATACTAACAGCCATCATTTTCTTGAAAAGAAGACAAGCATATGTTTTCAATAAAAATTAGCCTGATAAATATTTTCAGAAAACTGGACCTTGATAAATAGATAATTAGAAGTGGATTCCAAACTTTCACAATGTAAAAAATGTCCACTGAATGTATATCAAATACCCAGGTATATTGCCACATTTATTTGAACAAGAAGATAGGAGAACGAAATGTTTCACTCTGCAAGCAAATGTAAAAGTTTTCTGAATGGGACTGCTTAGAAAATAAACAGGAGAAATAATCAACAAATGGGATAATATCAAACAGAAAGCTATTGCACTGCAATAAAATCAATGCCAAATGAAGACAAGAACTATACAACAGAAGAAACTCTTTGAGATCAATCCTTAGTACAGAACAGTATGATCATATATCTATATACATATGAATACATAAGCAAAATTAAAATAAAATACATATGCATCAATAAAAAAGAAAATGATGTACCTAGTCATTACTCCAAAGAAGAAATGAAAAGAGAAGTACTTAAATGAAAATAATTTCCACATCATTACTTATCTGGGCATTACAAATCTAAACTACCTTGAGATTTCATCTCACCAATTAGAATGAGGATCATATACAAGTAATAATAAATTGTCTTGAGGATTTGAGGTAAATCCAGGATAAATTTCTCTTGTAAATGATTAAATTCATTATTAAAATCACTGTGAAGTTTCCTCAAAGAGTAAATTTTTTGAGTAAATTTTGACCTATCCTTTTTTCCTACTTCTTAAAAAGTTGATACATTTCCTAAAAAATTCCTAAAGTATTTTTACTCTTTAACTATCTTTATTCTAGCAAAACACATGTCTTCCTAGCTATGAATACTTCCTAAGTGCACATAGGAAAATGGATGAAGGCAGAGAAAGTGTGTTTATGCACAATGAAGTATTTTTTAGACACACAAACTAAAAACAAAATATGCTATGATTAAACTTGAGGTCATGTTGCATAAAATGAGTCAGATTAGTAAGGTAAAATATCATGTTTTGTCTCATAAGGAGAATGTGGAAGAAAATCTGAGATTGGATTGGCATGTTAGTAAAGGGAAAAACATTAGAGAAGTAGAGGATGAGAGGAAGGAGAGAGGAAAAGGCAAAAATCTAAGGGGAAAGAGAAAAGAATCAAAGTATGTTGTGTGCATGTGCAGGTTTTATAAAATGAAATGTATTAGTCCCTCAAATTACCATACAACCAATAAAAAACACAAAAAATTGACACTCAAATTAAGTAAAATTGGCAAGTGTCAAATTATATGTTCTAGGCATTAGTCAAATTTTAGGTTGCATGCATTTGTCCAGTTATAGGTGGTAGGCATTGGATATTGCAGAATTTGGTAAAAATTAAGCACACAAATTAAAGTGGAAACAAAAATCTGTGCTGGTACACAGGGAAAACCTTTAGTGAGTCCTATGACAAATACAGATATACACAAAATTAATTTCAATATGTAAATATTGTTCTCTCCCAAATCTGACACAATGATAGAAAAACACATGACTTGTGATGTTTCACAAATTTAAATGATAACACTTGTGACATTTTTCACAGGGTCCTCGGCCACATTTTAGTAAACATCATTCCCTTCACCAAAGCCACGTCTCACATATGCCCTGCCCAGGCTCCCATCTGCATTGAAGCATGAGTCTGTGGTTCTCACCTTGACTGCAAATTTGGGCAAAACTTACTCATCTCATCACCCACAGCAATGGAGATGCCATGGAAGGGATTTTGGAGAATATTGGAGAAGAGGAGGTTGAGGGGAAGGAGAGAGGAAATGTTAAGGAGGAAATGAGGGGCATGAGAAGGACCAATGCATGATATATGCATTTACAAATTGTGTTAAATGAAACATAACTTACTCTAAGAGTAACACAAGTCAAGTACAAAGAAACAAGTGATAACAAATACTGTCACTTAAACCACATACATATGTTAAGAGAGGTTCAATGAGAAGTTGTACAAATATAGAGCACTGGATATTATAGAAGTTTGTAAAGATTAAATTATGGAAAATTAAAATGGTGACAAGACCTTGTTCAGTTATAGAGAGAAAAATCTTTAATGGAAACTCTGAGGACAATAGCCCCTATATGAATTGGTAACTCCAGTGTATACATAAATCTTCTATCCAACCACAGCAAAAGCAAAGATAAATACACTTGCTGGAGATGGTCATGTAAAAGAAATCCTGAGAAAACTTGAAAAAATCGCCCATGTCCTCTCCCACATTGTACAGAGCATCACTCACTTTAAAAGCCTTCACTTTGCATACTAACCACGCTCCCATTTGCAATAAAGCACCACTCAGTGGTCCTTACCTGGATGCTGAAGTAAAGGAATAACTCTTCCTTCCACCATCCACAGCATTTCTTTGTCCACTGAAAGAAAATTTAGATCTGATTCACAGAGCTGGTATCCTGTTCAGGGAAAAGCAAGCAAGTACATTTTTTTTTTTTTGTGGCAAGAAAAATATTTTGATCAAGCACATGGGATGCAATTCAAAAAAAGTAAGGAACTAGAGGTTAGACCTAGGAAATATATTCAAAAATCATCATTGAGTGAATTTTTGAATATTAAATGGAAATCTAGAATGTGTGACAAAAGAGGATTCTTTGTCAGGATTCTTATATTCATTCTTGTTTTTAATTAAAATGCAGTATTATCAATATTTCAAAAATAATAAAATACATATGTCCACTGTAAAATGAATACTATTTAAATAGAATCTAACACGAACTTTTCAAGAATACTCACATTACATTTCTTTTCATGTGTGGGTCAAAACTCAACCTGCTGATTTTAAAATAATACTTTTCCAATTATTTAGTGAATTTATAATTTTGAAAACATTCATTCAATACACAGTTTTACTCTGGGTTTTGCAGATTTGGTTGCAATAAAGGCATGAAATATTGATGAAGTCAACAATCAAGGTTGTTAAAAAAATCTTGTAAATGAATGTGATTGAAAACTTTCATGAAGGTGAAAGTTTTATAAACAAATTCAGACAGAGAATTATTTGGGTATGCATCACACATTCTAGAAAACTAATGCTAGAAAACTTGCATGACTGAATATAGACAGAGACAATGGTGGACTCACCAAGGGATAGGAGATGATTAATGTTTTCCACCATCACATCTCTGTACAGCTTTCTCTGAGGTGTGTCCAGTAGGGCCCATTCCTCTGGGGTGAATTTTATGGTCACATCTTCCACGGTCAATAACTTCTAGAAGACCATAGACACTACAATTTAGACAGAGGAATAGCGACAAAGTTCTTTCCATGAAAAGTCAGATTATAGCCCAGAGGCAGAGGAAAGCCTGGATACAGAGAAATTGAATTGTTTAGGGCAACACTATTGCTTCTCTTTACAAACACACTCTGAACTCATAAATTCATTGTTATGAAGGATAATTACATTATGAGAAATTTTACATACTTGGTATTGAAAACCTTTGAATTTTTTCAATAGAATGGTAGTTATAACTTTTATGATGGTTGTTTTGAAACATTGAGTTTCAAAATTTTATGTAAAAATATCTGCCCTGATCATTTTGAGGAACATTCTTACATAAAAGAAGTGAATTATTGTTATCGCTGTTTGGGTTTCCATTAGTTTCAATGACTATAGTTGTTTCATTTTCATTCATATACCTCACATCCCTCATCTATTTAACCAATTTTATACTGATGTGAATGTGGAACAATCCAAAGAATGTTTTTTCTATCTCAAAGACATTTATTATAATTGTTGTTTCTGTTATTCATAAGAAGGTCAAGGACAGTGAAAGGATTAACCACCATCCCTGATCACGGGCTGAATTGCATGACTGTCACCATCTGTGTGTGTGGTCTGTCTGTACTGGAATGGAAATAAATTTGCAGAGTGAGGCTCAGGACAAATGTCAAGCAGGACTCATCAGAAATCTTTCTGATTGGGGTATTGTCCTTTGTTCTAGATGAACTTTCCTGAGCTATGAGGATTCTCTTCTCTGAAAACTCTAAATATTATTCTTGGAGGTCTCCTCTGTGAATATTGTAACCATATTCACATGTTCAACAAACTTTAGATGAGGTACCACATGTTCAGTTCTTCAAAAAATTTCCAGAGCCTTCTAGTTTTGTTATATGAATTCCCTTACTACACTCTTGAGTTAAGATTACAACCAATTAAGTTAATAATAATATCTAATAATAACATGCATCCATCAAATATAAAATATTCTGAAATATTGACATGAAAGTACTATGAATATGGTCCAGAACAATAAAGTATTTTACATTATACTTTGAAGACTTTCTCACATTGAAGTAGGTACTATTCAATTTATTAAGTGTGAAATTAAATAAATGAGTGGCAATTGGAAATCTTCCCAAACATCTTTCATTATTCTTCCAGAGCTTACAGACTTGATATCAAAATGTTTGCCTCCCTTTTGAGTGAATTCACCTGGTGAAATATTTAACTCCCTCACTGCCACGGGCTGCAGTGCTCTACTTCTCACAGATAGCTGTTCCCTGCATAAAGCAAAATTCTAACAGCACTAGAGTTAGCAGCACAGGCAAGGAGGTCAATAGTTCTATAAAAAGAACAAGGAACTCAATGAGGGAGAAAATATCTTACATTTCTTCTATAAGTACAAAGCGACAGTATAGATTCACATACACAAAGATACTGAAACCATAGGCAAATATGTTTATATTATAACATTGTATGCATACTATATAGTAAATAAGACATTATAAGTTTATAACCATTAAAATTATCACAAAGTGAAGAAAATCCCTCCTGAACTATAAGTGCCTTAATCCCTCCTACTTGGACTTAAAACTTAATATCTGCTCTCAATGAGCTTGTAATATCAGTAGAAACAAACATTCTTACTCACCTGCACATTCATTGCCATTCACAGAGTTGTCAGCTGCCTTCCAGTACAGATTATGACACAGGGTAAAACTTAAGGACTGAATCTGTGGATAGAGAACAAAGTCAATTAAACTGCAGTCTGTGCTGAAATTTTAAATGCATCTGTTAGGAAATCACAGATATTCATGGGAATGTTAGCATACTACCAAGCAGCAGAAAATGCAGTGCACTTGGACAAAAGCACAAGGGTCCCAACTTTTCTGAAGTAAAATTTGAGTGCGTAGTCCTGGTTAAAAAATAAGATACAAATGCAGTCATCTCATAGAAAGGAACATGAAAAACTTTGTCTCTATTGTTCATTAGCCAAGTCAGCCTTTTACTTGAAATGTAAGGAATTCCTTCCCTCATTCCAAAACAGAGATAACCATGAGCCATCCCCATGTGGGACTTAGTTTCCATCTTTAGATAAATATGGTAGAATTTTTCAAACTACACTAGATTTGCATCATTTGGTAGCAATGATCCTCCAACCACCACATTTCCCAGATGCCTCCCTGCATTCTCAGCCATGAAGTTGAACTTTTCTCTCCAGGAATGGATGCCAATCTTGGTAAGATGTTGTATAAAGGGAGGAATTGACACAGACACTCATTCACCTGGGGGCTCATTCACTGACACCCAACCTACATAGGTGACCCTTAAAATCTTCTGCTTCAGAAAGTAACAGAACTACACATTTTTCAGTCTGCTGGCATTTACTCCCACAATTACTTAAGACAACACTGCTCAGAAGCAGTGCACATGTAAATTATGAGGATCATTCCTAAATCTCCTGGCTCAATGGGACATTTCATTTAAGATTTTGCTGTAGCCCATGCAGTTCAGTTTTGTGTTACTCATCACTTCCATAACACATCTACCTTACATTTATATACAGACCTTTGCTTGCATGTGAGAAAGACTTTAGGAAATGTAATGTGTCTCCAAAACCCTCAATAATAAGTGTACTGGCAACTGTATTTCATTTATAATATTTGTAGTGAACAAAAGTATAATCAATTGACTTGCTTATATGGGTATTTGAATAAAACAAGACATTATAATATATGAAACTGTGTTGCCAGATATACATACATAAATTTTCATAAGTTTAATCTTTACAAAATCTCTGGTCTTTTAGACCTTTAAGCAATTTTTCCCATAACCAATATAATTAGGCAAAAATTTAATACAACCAAGTACTGCACATTGATATTAAGATTGTTACATGTTCTGCCTTGGTTATGGTTCATATTTTATATAATTGACACATGATCAAACTCAGAATGACATTTCTAATGTTACAAACATTGCAAGTACAATGTCTTCTAGTTTTTGCTTTATCAAGAAATTACTAGCCCACCCTCCAAGCACAGAGTGGATGGGTGAGGAGCTGAACTGTGTGGAGCTGGGCTGCCACCCCACCCCTCAACCGGCCTCTGAGTGAGTAGCCTGCAGCACTACCCCAACACCGAACCCACTGGACTTTGGCCTCCTGGCAACCCTGGTACCTTGACCAACACCACAGAGTCATAGGGAGTTCTAAAGGCCATTGTCCTGAGCTCTAGAAGATGGAGCAGAAGTGAAAAACAGGAAGAGGGCCTCTCTCAAGCTCCTTGATAAAAATTACTGCCTACTAGAAAAGTGAAGGGAATCTGTGCAATGATGGCACTTCAGACCACTTTAGTTATTAAGTCAGAGGCATCACCACCTCCCATCAAAACCTGAACTATTTTCAGGGTAAGAGGAGCTGGAACCTGCAGTAGAACCTTGGTGAGTTCAACCCTGAAGGAGGTCAGGGAGCTCAACTTGGAACACACAGCCAAAAATCAGCCTGAATCTCAGGGATCTGCTGCTGGCTTCCTGAGACTAATTGACTTAGATCAGGACACTGCTGCCCACGTTGTCTATTGTGACAGCAGAGACATACCCTGAAGAAAGCCCTTCATTTTTATTTTTTATTTGTTAAATTACTTTTGTCTCATATTTAATTTATATTTTTTTCTACTCTTTCCAAACTTTTTTGTTTATCTCTTCTTTTTCTCTCTGTCTCACTCTGTCATTCTCCCTCATTTTTCTTCCTCTTCCCTTTTGTTCCTACCCTGATTCAGACATATTCTTTCTCTTTTCTTCTCTTTTTCCTCCTCTCAATTGTCATTAGTTTTAAAGGAAAGTCAATACAGTTTCTAGCCTTCCTATTGCTTCAGTTGTTCTGTTCTTGTCTTGTTCTTTCAGTCTGTCTTTTCCTCTTGTCTTCAACAGTTTCCTAGAGTTTACATGATCTTCCTGTGTTCTCTGGCCTCACTGCTAATATTTCCCTATACTTCTACACATTTATCTCTTGCTCCCCAACTCTTTCTAAGGGAAAATTGGGAATACTAAAGAGTTCATTCACTGTAAATATATTTTGGGCTGGTCCTCAATTTTGATATAATTCACATGGTTAAAGGTGATAGATTAATAACTACCACAATTTGTCATTTTCTAACTAGTGCTTGATGTTATCTTGTTGCTAAGTGTATCACTTGGGTTAAGGTGTTGTGATTGATCTAATCAGATTTCCTTCTTGGTATAATGAAAATATGATTGCCTCAGAGTTATTAGAGACTCAAAGCCTAACAACTAACTATATCTGGAAGACACCTCTGAGAAGCAATCATGCCATAAGGTTTCTAAATACAAGCAACAAAGGTACTTACAATAAGCAATATTGAAGTATCAACACAGGAATTAAAACAAGGACAGTACAACAACAAAATTAAGAATGACAAGATATTTCAGCAAGGCACAAACCCACACTTCCAGCTCAGCAAATGCAGATGGGGGGGGGGGCGAGGTGGAAAATTCTGATAATCAACCACCTATTCACCTTGCATTGATAGCACAGGAAGTAATGAAACAGATGAATGAGGCTCTGGAAAAATTCAAAACCAAATTAATATCCTAGATAAATACAGATATGGTGAACAGAATGAAAGACATGACTAGAGACTCGAGAATAGAAAGAGATAAAAAAATAGATGAGTTCTGGACCATGATGGAAGCCATGAATACCCAAAATACAAAAGAAATGGAAATCATGAATGCCCAACATAGAAAAGAAATGAATCCATGAAACAGATTCAAAGAAATATCCAGGAGATTAAAAACTCTATTGAAAATATACACAGCAGACTGAGCCAATCTGAAAACAGAATATCAGATATAGAAGACAGGATGGTGATCAGTGACTATGAAAAGGGAGATCTTTTAAAAATAGTAAGGTACCCTGAGAATTCAATCCAACAGCTTCTAGGTGATGTAATGAAGAATAATATAAAACTGAAAGAATTCCAGGAAAAAGCAGGAGAAAGTACAAATTACATAAAAAATATTGCTCACAGAATTAATGACAGACAATTTCCCAAAATGAGCAAAACAATTTGACATACAGATAAGTGTGGCATAGAGGATTCCAATGAGCCATGATTAAAAAAATCCTACATATACACACCTAATGATCAAGATCCCAGAAACCCAACAGAAGAACAAAACAGTACAAGCAGTTAAGTAAAGAAACAAATCACATGCAAAGGAAAGCCCAGTAGAATCACAACAGACTTTTCAAAACAAACCCATGAATCAAGGAGAGCCTGGACTGAAGTATTTCAACCCATAAAAGTAAACAACCTCCAACCAAGACTGATGTATCCTGCAAAACTATCTTGCAAAATTGATGGAAGAATAAGATAATTCCATGACAAGGATATCTAAGAAACTTCATGAATAGCAAACCAGCACTCCAAACAATTCTAAAAAGTATACTAGAAAAAGACAATGAAGGTCACAACTCCATGAGGCCCAACAGACAAAATCCATCAGGCAAGACAGGAAATCAAAGGATGAGGGAGAAAATAAAAAAGAACCAACAACAGGAAAATAACATGACAATGATAAGTCAATACATATCAGTTATAACCATCAATGTTGGTGGCCTCACTTCACCAATCAAAAGAAACAGACTAGTGGAATGTTTTAAGAAGTAAAATCCAAAAATATGCTGTATACAAGAAACGCACCTAGTTCATGAAGAAACTCATAGACTGAATGTAAAATGATGGAAAACAGTTCTCCATGGAATGGGAACCTGGAAAAAGCAGATGTAGATATCTTACCACAGACAAAGTAAATTTCAAACCAAAACTAATTAAGAGTGACAAAGATGGTCACTACATCCTTGTAAAGGGAACAATTCAAGAGGAAGAGACAACAATCATAAATATATATGCACTAAATACTAATGCCTCTAATTATATAAAACAAATATTAAGGGATATGAAAAATCAAATAACCCCTAATTCAATTGTAGTAGGGGAACTCAATACACTAGTGTTACAAATAGACAGATCATCTAGACAAAATATCAACAATGAAATTCTAGAACTGAACCAAGTTTTTGAACAAATAGACTGAAGAGACATCTTCAGAGTGTTCTGGCCTCAAAATTAGAATATACATTCTTTTCGCCAGCACACAGGTCATTCTCCAAAATAGACCTCATACTAGTTCATAGTATATGTTTAAGTAAATGCAAAGGAATTGAAGTTATCCCATGCATATTATCAGACCATTGTGAAATTAAACTGGAGACCAATACCATAAGAATCCACAAGAAATTCACAAACACATGGCAATTGAATAACACACTCCAGAACAACCAATGGGTCACAGAGGCAATTAAAGAAGAAATTATACAGTTTATACAAATAAATGGTAATCCCAATACAACATACAGGAATCTATTGGCTAAAATGATAGGAATTCTGGGCCGAGGATTTACCTCAATATTTTCACTGTATGCTGCACAAGCACAAGAACCTGAGTTCAATCCCAGATACAAAGAAAAGGAAAGCAGTTCTATGAGGGAAATTCATAGCAGTGAATGCCCACAGTGGAAAAACAGAGTAAATGCAAATAAACTACCTAATACTCAATCTTAAGCTCCTAGAGACAGCAGAGTAAGATGAATACAAAGCTTGTGCAAAGGAGAAAGTTATAAAGATCAGAGCAGAAATCACTGCAATGG